TAGCAAACAAACCGTCAGCGAGACGCGTCTCGCGCTCCCGTTTCTCCTTTCGGGCGGTTCGCTTGGGCTCGACGGTATCCGGACTTTCCTTTTGTTCCTTTTGTTTTTTTAATATTCGATTACCAGTCGAATATCCTGGGAGAACACCACGCGGATTCTTGGTATACTTGTCGTCAAGAATGATCTGAATTTGGGAGCTAGTCGAAGGGCAATGGACTGACCATTCGATGCAGAACGTGGAAGGAAGTTATTGTTTTTGCTCGTTGCGAGAATGTTTTTGTCTTCGGTTTGCATTTGCTTAATGTGAATTAATATTTGTGGTCAATATGTGTATGTTCTATCCAATGCGATAGGAATGAAACGTGCTCATCTTCGGTGGATCTAGTGTTAAGGCAATACGTGTGGACACATCTGGAGCGCAGCATTTCAATTGTCTGACCATGATCTTCTTTATTCACTTTTTACGATTCTGGTCCTGTTTGAGCTTGAGTTCTATGCTTTTAACTGGAAGTATACAAATTTCAATAATTTTGTCACAAATTCTATTTTCCTATTTCATGTTAAAGTTGTGAGTGTTGAAGAAAGGATTTTTCTGTTCCGAATAAAAGAGTGTTCTTCGCCAGTACTTGAAGAATTACAGCGGAGTGCGCGCTTTATGTTTGCCGTCAAAGAAATTTCTAACTTTTTTCAGTCATTAATAATGTATTATCCACGTCAGCCATTAATAATGTATTGTGTACGTGTTACCACTGTGATAATGCTGTAGATCCTGTAGAACCCCCATTCTAATATCGAATGACCGAGCATCTACCGAGATAAAGTCTGCTATCTTTCTTGACAAGTCCATTAACAATCCCAGGAAGTGTCTTCTCATCTTTCCCCTTTCTCCCCCCCCCCTTCATCTCCTGTCTTCGATAAACCCTTTACTGTCAGCAACGAAACATCATAACAACTTCGACAAGGGCCACTATCGCTCACGACTGCCAGGATGTCTGGACCGTCTTTTATAGTCTTTAATCCGAGCAATCCGTGCATCGATGACCGTAGATATTAAACTATTGTTTCCTTGAAACGAATTCCTACCCCTTTCACTGAACATAAAGCGATGTAGAAGATTCATAGAAGGCTCAGACACATTTGCTACCGATCAAAGTTGGACAAGACACGTCACGTGTGTAAAGTACCTTATTCAACTTTTGTCTTGCAAGATCACGCAAGATTGAACTGTGTCTTTTTTGCAATCTACTAAATGCACGTAGTAATTCGTGGGTAATGCAGCTGTTAAAGTGATGTATCATATTTAATGGATGCATTGAATATGTTTCACGATCTCGGATGATCTGATCCTAAATTACGGGCAATAGAGAAAGCGTTAAGTTTCCAATTCAAAAGGATGCAGTTAAATCTTTCCGCCTACCCCCCCCCCCCCCCCCCCCCGGTGACGCACTAAAAGCATAGATAGGACGACTCAAAATAAGCGACGTATAGAATTCGTATGATCTCGCGCCGGTTAGAAGAGGATTTTTATTGCACCAACCTTCGAGCCGAAGAACACCCCCTCTTGGAAAGGATGTCTTTTATCTGTAATGTCGTTCGCCGGATGTTTTGCCGCATTATTTGAACATAAGCTTGTTTATTGCCTGGTTCGTTACGATCACTTTGCTGGATGAGTAATATCGTAACCGTTTTTTTTAGCATCTACATCCGGTGCTTGCGTTGATGACGGGGCTACGATCATGTTCATCCAGTTATAATGTAATCTAGCCAAGAATGAAATCTAGCCAAATTGAAAATAAAAGCTTCGTTAATTTTTTGCAAGCAGTCTGTTTTACTGTGTTCCATATTTCCGTATGCTATAAACGCGTAACATCCACAGATTCAATCGTTAACGATCTACGATCGAGTAGAATATGACACTGTTTCACTGTTTCACTGCAAGTTCTTTTAGTCGCAGCTTTGCCTTTCCGGCCGATATTGTCGCGAACTAATTTCATAGAGCCGCTTTGAGTCGGTTGTATAACTTCTACGGAATTCTGCGGAAAGATTGTTGCAATCTAGAGTTGCGAATGGGTGCTCCATTCGTGCTAGAGTCGAGCAAATACTGTACGGGTGAACGAACTTACTCGAATGTTGGGCGTAAATGAACTTCCCGGGTGTTAGGCACGACTGACGAAGGGTCGGAGGGGTGGGCGGCGTTTGGGGTCGTGTCGAAGGGATCGTGTAACTGTTTGGAATTGAAATTCAGTACTCTGGATAGTCTTAAAGGAACCCTGTAGTAATTGTATAATATTTGAATCCAATACAAAACGGTATTCTAATAAATTTACGATTCTGACTGCAGAAGGTTCCTTGTATTTACGAGTGCACAGGTACTGATATTCTTGTGGCGCGAAACACACGCGGAACAGCTTCGCACAGTTTCCTCACTTTACGAGTTAACTTAATAATGATTACGTAGCACCGTGATGACACCGAAAGATATACCGGTAATAGTGACTAAGAATCACACGAGTCATCTGAGTGCATACCGTGTTATAACGCAATTATGATTCATCGTTTAAAACGACCGCTTAATAGGAATGCATAAATTTAACTTTGAGGGCGGCGCTGTGTTATAAAAAGACTCTCTCGAAATCAGGAATGACTGAATGCGATCCGAATTAGCTGCATGCCTCTCTCAGCTTGTGGGAGGATATCTACGCTCGTGGAGTGAGATCATTCTATCAACCAAGTAAACTTGAAATTTTTTAAAAACGAAATATCGATAAGTCATCCCACAAAATCTCTGATCGCTGTTCGTTGAACTAAAATAGTTTTAAGTCATTCGTCGTTTGTTACTACACGTCAATATCTTCCAAGGGATCTAATGAGTAGGTACTGTTATAAAAGAAATAGTGTATAACTCATTGCCATCCGGTGGTTGCTTTTAGCAAAACACAGAAATAAATCATTTCGAAGCAACGACTTCGACCAGTCGACGTGCAAATTCGTAAACATCGTGTCGCCTGGATTCGTTCATCAGGCTTGTCGCGAGAATTTTATTTACCTTTTCGCCGAAGTTGGGCGCGCGAAACGAGGCATGGAAATGCAGGCGATATGAAAGGGGGAGGGGCACGCCTCCTGGAAAAAGTCACGAGACTTTTCTGGTATTTGAGGGAGCGCGTGTGGAAACGCTGCAACGATGTTTTTAGACTTCTTTCGCGATTTAGCAACACACGATGTGCTACGAAGTTGCAGTGGAACATGCGACCGGTTCTGTATACAGTCGGAGAGAAAAGTATTCGTATAGTTAAGTACATAAAATAATAGGAGCTACGTTATTTATATTATTAATTATTTGTGCAAATATTGTTTTACGTGGGCTCACTTGCAGGGATGTAAACAATTTTGTTTACTCTGTTAAGGGTTCTACAATATAGTAAAAATGTCATATATTATAAAGAGGTTTATAATAATTATACTGAGATATGTGTATTCGTACATTATAAGTGTCTAGAAACATTGGTGATCAGAAATATGTAGGAGCAATAGTGGTTGTACTATTGATGCATATGTATGAGTGGTAGGTACGGATATTTTCCTCTAGACTGTACATATATGCATAGTAGCTTTAGAAAGAATTTTTTTAATTGTTCACGATCTTTTTGGTGATGTAATTAATACAGTTGGAGTAAGCATATAAGTACTCGTATCGTTTAACAGTACTCCTATAATGACGTTCTATCGACATTTTTAAGAATTGCATCGCTAAGAATGGGAATGAGAATCTACAGTCGCATCATCAGTCTCGTTTAATGCAACTGCAAACAGGGAATAAATTTTCGTCGTTTTTACACGTAGTAATGACAAAACCGAAATTGTCTACTAAAATTAATATGTCATCGGTGACACGATTCTGATTTGACATTTCAACCCTCAAAAAACGTTTATACAACTTATGTTCATTATTTCATCTATCTGCGATCAGACACCCCTCTATCTAGCACCTCGATCTGTCCATCCGATAGTTGTTTCTCGAAACAGATTCGGCCACGATACAACTCTGTTGGATCGTGTCGGGTCTGAATATCATCGTGAAACGCATCCAGTCAGCAGGTGACGGTTGGCCAGCTCGCTTGCTCGAAGTTTCTCTGTTTCGTGCAAACGTCGATGGAGCCGTGATGGAACGGTAACTGGACGATGTTGATGTCGTAATCGGTGTTGACCAGAACCGCGTTCACCGTCGGTATGTGAAGCTTATCGGCGAGATCGTCCTCTTGGTATTCACCGGTGATTGGGTTCATAAGGGCGCAACGTGTTTTCGCGAGGACACACGCGGTCGTGTTCACGTACAATTGGGCCAGCTGAACGTCCGTGTTGTTGAAACCCGGAGACATCCGTACGGCTTCGCCGACGCATTGTCGAAGCTGAGGAAAACGTTTCTCGATTAATTACGTTGCGACCTAGTGATACTTTTCGGAGGAGTTTTCACATCTCTATATGTATAGGAGGATAGGAACGACGTCCATTGACAATTAGGATGTTGGAAAGTAGGTATCAATATAGTTCTATTCTCTAAATACTCTCTATTGTAATTTTATTTTCGAGAGTAGAAACGAATTCTATCGACAACTAAGATATCGGAGAATGGACCTAGATATCAAAAGCAATTCTTCGATACATGTTCACGAGAGAGTAGAGAATTACTTTAGAGAGTGGCGCTCTTATGTCCATACGTACCAATACTTATCGCCTCTCCGCTCCCTGTATAAGATTTATGTTACGTGTTAGTAGTGCAAGTGACAAGTTGAATCGGAACGAACGACAATTGACCTACTATGATTTTGTCTATTGTGAACAAAATGTAACGAAGAAATGTGATATTATGAAGAAATTATGTTACAGTGACATTAATGTATGTACTTACTAAGCGTAAGAATGACGTTTCGGTAGTGTTTAAGTATTGTACACTATGTACAGAAATATTATACGGATGTCGTATATGTACAGTATCGAAAGTTTCATGTAGTTTTCGGTTGTATCGATTGTCGCCTTGGATCAATAGGTTCTGCTCCAGGCCTCACGGTGTTCGACTCGATATCCCGCTCCCTTATGATGCAAATATTTCGTGCTATTTGTTTATACAGTTTCAGGTATATGAAAGAAGTTTTCCTCGATCCCTTTCTCGGACTTGGCGCCGTTCTCTGGTGCACTCGTGCCTCCTGTTCAATATTTACAGCCTGCCATTTCTTTGCGTTCTTATATACATTATTTACATACGTAGCGAGATTTCAGCCAGCAGATTGACGAGTGACACGAAGTCTGAATTAATTGAACGAAATAGAATGAAGATGAAAATGAATTTCTATGTAATTATCGATTATGTAAATTTCCATATTCATCCGCGGTCTACGAACCTCGCCTCACTCGTCCACTCAATGGTTCACTTTTCATCTGCGCAGACTTGAACAAGTCACGAGTAATCATCTCAAGCATCTTCGAATAAAAACTGAAATCGCTTACCAAATTGTCTTTGTTCACCTGACGAATGCATTCGAGGAATGTACAGTAGATTGTCGTAGGATTAATCCTGGTGTTTGGAGTGCTGGTAGCGTTCTATCACAGAAATACTCAGCAATCGATTGTAAAAAAAACCACTAACGTATAATCAAAAAAAGCTTTACAATGGTCGCGCGCTTACGTTCAAATATCGTTGACAGTGGTCGTAATCGGTGTTGTTCAGGTAAAGATCAGCGCAGCTAGACATAGCCACCAGTAAAGGGTAGCCAAGGGGCTGATTGGTTGCCTTGTAGAAGCATCCGTAGCAGGCGTCTTGACGAATCGTGTCTGAGCCCTGTGATTCGTTGCATAGTTGATTCAGAACTTCCGGAATCCTCACACTACAACGGCACACAGTCGCCAGTTCAGTTAATAAATTCACGGTGACGATGTTTAATTGCAGTAAAAACTAAAGGAGAGATACTGTTTAACGGAGGCCAGAGATCCCAGAAACTTGGACAGGCTTTTGTGCATCAGAGGTTCCACTAGGTTAATACTGAGAATCACAAATAACGTTAAAGTAACGATCGCGCGTAATTTCACCATCGTTCTGCACGGTACTCATTGGTTATTTGCCCGGATATTCAGGCAGGTAGGGTGTTATATACCAGAGATGAATCTGATAGGAGTGTGGGGCATATTACTTCCGGCGAAAAGACGTCACTTTCTATATTTTCAGAGGAAATATCGTTTCAGTATTTCAAAGCTGTTATTGTTCCACATTTCATAGTCCCTGCCTTTGTAGAATGTTCGGAGTTATTGTAGTTTGTGATTGTACTATCGTATTATATTTCGACACATGATTCTTTGTTTACAAATTTTCTGCAAAATACTTCAAATTTTTGTTTAAGCACTTGATTCTTGTATCTATGTAATTGATTGAAAAGAAAGGAGGTGTGCATCCGATGCATGATGAGCTATCGAGCGTGATCGCGTTAAACGTTCTTTTTTTTCCTGCCATTCTTACACTTACGAAAGTGTCTGACCATACCGGACTGAATCATGCCTGTTTGTCCATGAACGACGCAATCTACTGTAGAAGAATTCTGAAGAAAAAACCGTAGTTACATATGTGCGGCGACGCGTGGAAACTCGTTGTTGCTACTGGAAATACACTCCGTGTACAGATCGCAGTCTTCATTGCCGCATTTTTCCCGTGACACGTGACATGCCGTGCAGGGACATCGAGCGGTTTATTTACCTTCCGACGGGAAACAGAAAGCTCTTCCCCTCGTTGCTTTGTACTTCCGCTGGGAATAGGGAACAAGGGCATTAACAATAACAGAGCAGCCGCGGAAGAATGTGCAGCGAAATTAATTTTTCAAAAGAATATAGTTTACCCGGCATGCGAGAAGCAAAGGGTCATCGTGCTCGACGTGGGCCTCGATGTTTATCAAACAGGGAGCGTTTATCGAGTTTCCTGGGTTAGATTCTATCTCGAAATAATTGTAACGATCTTCGTCTTCGAGGCAACTTTAAAGGAACAACAAGGTAGCTATCCAGCAACATTTAGTCGTTACTCGAGACTAAAGAGAGGCAAACATCTGGTAAGTCAAGCACTTCTACTTACTCAACGGTTCAGCGGGGAAATGATGATTTTCGGTTCCCTTTAATGAAAGAGGTATTGAGTAACATTATGATGTAAACCGAGACGATTTTTAATTTAAACGACACGTAAAATAATTAAATGAAGTTACGGTACAACCTTAATGTGGCAGTAATTGAGGCATCTACCCTATCTCTCGTTTTGTACATGGCGGAATCGGGCGAACGCGCCCCCCCCCCACTGCCCCTTCGATGATCATCGAGACCTGCGGAAAATGGAGAAAAACACCGGACCGCGGGGTTCTCTGATTTCACATGCGAGGAACCAGGGGTGGAGGGGATGAAAAGTGGAAAGTGGGCCAACGTGTGCGTGTCCGAGACGACACACGTGCCGCAGCTATTTATACGGCAGACGGCCGTAGCAAGGAAGACCTGACGCTTAGGACACGCAGCGAAAAAAGAGGCGAAAGGGGAATACAGGGGAGGGGTGAGGTGTAGAAGCAACGGTGCAACCTCTCTCGATGGATACCAGAATTAGAATGAGTTACGGGATTATTTGGGTTTATGTAATCCGAGAAATTCGTCGCGGCTGACGACGGTGACGTCGGCCGGCGTCGCGGCGTCACTGAATCAAGTGACTTATTGGTTTCTCTCGTATATACGGGGATCCACGGTGTCACGTTGCATCCTCGATGTTGAAACTGGATTTTCACCGTACGCCTTCGTATCGGTCCGACGATGTGTCTGGTTTATCGATGGGGCCGTGTTCTTGTGTGCCAGTGGATCTGTTCTGTGGACGGAAAATGTTCATTCGGATTGTTTGCAGTAAAATCTTATGTAAATACATATCATCATGTTGGAAACGTTTTCTACCCTATTCTGCATTTAATTGTCATCTTACCTGAAAAAAGAGACTGCATGTACTTCGTTCCTCGTTCTAAAATCATCCTGTACACGAACGACGATAGATCCGTTGAACCTCGTAAGTGTTCCCTATTATCTTTCTCGAAATCTCGAAATGTTTCGACCGTCGGCGATATTAAAGGGGAAATAGTAGCCGAGTTCGAGCGTGGACCGGGCACGCCACGCGTAATTGCTCTTTGCGTTACCTGGCTGGCATCTAATTACGGTGTGTGTGTGTGTGCGAGCGTACGAAAGAAATCTCGAGCGCGCACGCGGTCAACAGCAGCATTCTCCACTCCTAATACTTCTCCCCCCTCTCTTTCGTGGCTCTCTGTTTCCCAGCGGACGTTTCGGGAATTCCTTCGCTAAAGACCAATTAAACCGAAACACGATCGCCCTTCTTCGTCGTGCTGACCGCTCGCGATGACAGCTGCATCTCACTGTCAATCAGTGTCCCTCTCTCTCTTCGTTTCGGCGGGCGGTCAATTAAGTGGACACCCGGGGGTAACTCAATCCTTGCGGATGTCCCCGGCACTTTATTTCGAGTCTCGCGAGAATAACGAGGCGGCGGTAACTCAATTTCGCGGAGCGTGTGCGGGAAAAGCGTGCGAGCACGAGCGCGTGAGCGTGAGCCTCCATCTCTCCCTCGTCGGCGTTTTTGTCGGCGACGTTTATTTTCGGCCGCCTCATTCCCGATTCGCCGAATAAATACGTTTTCCACCCGGCGGACCGCGGGGAACTGAGACGGAATAATTTAATCGCGCTGTAGCCTAATAAACCGGCCTGCTCCGTGTTTGGGCCGCGTGCGATCTACCGGGCAAGAACATTGTCCTGCGAAAAGGGTAAACAGACAGTTTTAAATCATCGATTTTGAAGTTACCTGAACGGAAATTCGTTCACGTTTTGTGGATACCTGTTAGATTCTAAATGAAATAAAAACTCTCGTTGAATTTTCAAGCGTAATAGCTTTCGACGATTGTGTGTGCTCTAAGTGCATAAAATTCCCAATCTGTTATATTTAGTATTTTTGAATCGGTATCGGTACAACCTTGTTGTATTCTTTCTGTGGATACTATCCGAATCTCTCGTTTCGCCGTTCGCGTGGATTCTATTCATATTCTATATTTCGTCGCCAGATACTCACGACCTGAACACTATTTCCGTGAAGTGAATAGAGCCTGGAACGATTCATAGAGTGTTGTCGACCGTCAACTAGATCGCGCGCACGCGATACGAATCGTTGATTTTAAAATGGGTCAGTGGAATCTGTTACGCCAGGCGGTTCGTTCGAAACGAGGCCAGACGCGACAAACTTTCGCGTGAATTGTTCCCCTGTAATTTCTGCGTGTTGAGCGCGGGTCCTCGAAACAGAGAGCGTGAAAACAGAGAGAATCCACTGAACCGCATAGCAGAAGAAAACGATCCTAATTTCATCGACGGAACGATTCGAAACGAGATCATACTTCCGCGGAAAATTCCTCTCACGGGGAAAAGACGAACCCGTTTATTCCGATCCCTGCTCCATAGAGTAAACACCGGGAAACTGTCGTAGAGCGGCATGGTCGCCACTGGATAGTTTCCAATTACGGAGACCAGGATTTCGTAGGTTCGCTGATTCTTTTCCGTAATCCAAAAGCGAGGCGCCGCCTTATTGAATTAGGGGGTCGCAGGAAGCGGCCGAATGACAGAGGCGTGGAAACCGCGTATTCCTGATTAAACATCTTAATTGCTCGTTTCTGCTGGGGCAAGGGAAAACCTGAAGAAAGTCACGGTATTATGGTGCGTGGCGACGATGGAATTGTATCGGAGGGCCCTCGCTCGTGTCGACATGAAATTAGACGGTGCATAATTGAGGGAACAATCGCCGAGAGTTGGGGGAGGAAGGAGTCGCGATCACGAGTTTAAGAGGGTGGTTTCGTGTATTCGATAAAAAGTAACCGATTCCCTGTTTCCTCGACACAGAATGCCTTAAAGAAGATCCTCTGAAAACTCGCAGTTCCATGTTCTAGTCGTTTCAATGTTTGTTTCTTATACATTAATTTTTTACAGATGACGTCAAACTACTTTTGTTCAACACCTTTATAAATACAAGATGTCCCAGCTAAAGGAGGTCACCTAAATGTCGCCTTCATTTTTAATAGTATGAGACATGTCCATTTGGTACATTGAACAAATTGCGTTCATCAACATTCGTTCGATCGGTGGTTACGCGACTGACGAAAGTGGAGATTGAGTTAAATAAGTATAACGCCGAGTTATAGAAGTGGGAATAAATTTGTTTCAGGGCTTAATGAGCCGTGACGAATATTTCAATCGACGCCTCGGATGTTACATCGCGTGTTTAAATGCGATCGCTGCGCTCGCGATGGAATCCATTGATGCATAATTAACCGGGATCGAGTCAACATGAGATGCAAGAGGGGGAGGGGGGGATCGAGCGGTGGCGATTATAATGGGCCTCAATTTTAATGCATAATTCTTTTCACAGACGAGGCGGTAGAAACGGAAATACGAACGAAAGACGCCGGTGAATATTGCAGGCGGTATATTTTCAGTAATATCTACGGCAATCGTTCTTCGGGTCGAGCTGGGAGGGGGGGGGGGGGGGGAATAAAACGGTTCGAGTGGATTTTAATGATGTTATTTCGACGAGTCTGGTTCCGGTAAATGTTGACTCTTCAAAATTGTTATCGGTGAATAATTTATAACTTCCAGGAGAGTCATGCAATTCATTATTCCGATTTTGCATCCCTTTCTTTACGTTCTGATCGCGGATACTTCGACTTTATTTAAACAATTGCGACGAATAAGGCGACCTTCAAGAGACGTTTGCTCGGTTTATTACATTTTGAGGATGTAAGGACTGGCTGTTCCAAATTTACCACCGATCGACGCAGCTAATTTCACTTTTCCCAGAGAATTGGAACTGTTTCGTGTAACAGATGATGTAGCAGTTATTCAGTATTATCACTGTTGATTGCCACAGTGAAGAAGGCCATATGTAGCCAGACGTAGTTTCTCTGCTACTCTTGCTACGCAAGTATACTGAACTTATTCGATCCAATAAAAATACAAAGTTTGGTGTGCATAATTAACAT